TTGCTGTTGCTGTTGCTGTTGCTGTTGCTGTTGCTGTTGCTGTTGTTGATTAGTTAAATCATCAAAATCTTTTAATTGATCGAATTGATCATCATCGGCTAAATGTTGAGACAAGTTTTTCAATTTTTTACCGCCAGTAGTATTTTGAGTGAAGTTAGAATAAGATTTAGCTTTACGTAATTGTTTGAAAGCATCATCATCTTGATCTTCAATTTTAATATTTTCTAGAGTATCATTTCTTAAACCAAAATTATTTTGTTTTGAGCTACCGGGTAAACTTTTGTTAACGGGACTGAAAAAAGTATGATTTAAATTACGAGCATTTGACAAATTAGCCATTGAAAGATTTGAAGTAGCACCGGGAGTTTGTAGAGGAGTATCGATATCATCAAGATCTTCATTAACTTGATCAACCTTAGGACTAATGAAGGAAGAAGGAGTATAGAAGGGGTTTAAAGGAAGTTGAGGAATTGAAGGAGGGGCCAGCTGAGGAGCATTCAGCTGAGGAGCCAGTTGGGAGCCAGTTGAGGAGCCAGTTGAGGTTGAGCCGGAGGCGCCAACTGGGTAGTATAGTTAAGCGATAAATTTTGTAGAGAAGAAGATCTAGTTGCTTGAGATAACATGATTGGATTATTTGAATGATCGATTGATATTCTTGATCTTGATCTAGAATGTTTCATTTTTGAGTTTTTATTAATTTTTGATTGAGAATTAAGATAATTTACCGGAGATAATGCTTGAGGTTGTTGAGGTTGTTGATTTCTTAAAGGGGTATTGAATAGATTATTATTTGAAGAAGATGAAAAGGATGCCAGTTTATTTCTACCTTGTTTTCTGGGGGTTTGAATCGAAATTTTTTGATTAGGGAAAGATTGGGGCAGATCACTTAAAGATTGAGTTGAAATCGACAGAGTTAAAGGAGGGACCGACCCATCATTTGAAACCAACGATTTAGAAGAATGGGAGTTATGGAAATTATGACTTGGAGGATCTTGATTTATTGAAAATGATGATGAAGTACTTAAATTTTTTTGATGATTTGAAAGAAACCCACCGTTATTAAAATTTGAGTTCAGGTCATCTAATGAGATATTCTTCAGATGTTGGAAATTATTAAATGATGAACTATTCAGTATTGAATTCATAAAATTATTATTCTCAATAGAGAAATTTCTCAGATGTTGAGGTAAATTAATTTTATTCATTGGCATATTTGAACTGACTGGAACCAATTCATTCAACGAGTCATTACTTTGATTGACCTGGCCTTCTTCGGGTCCACCCGTAGGTACCAAGGTAGTATCTTCATCATTATTACCAGTTGACCCAGTAGTAGTATCCTCAAATTGAGAATCAAGATTATATAAATCAATATTATTTAGATGCAATAAAGAATCACTATTCAAATCAAATGGCTGTGATAGTTGAGTAGGTGAACTAACAAGAAACTTATCCATCTTGTTTAGTTACTATAATATACACACATATATCAAAAAAATGCTATCTGATAAACCTGATAAAAGGATTAACTAGAGAGGAAGTAGAGGGACGAAAGAGAAAAAAAAAAAAAAAAAAATTGAAAAAGAAAAAAATCCAGAGAATGCACGAAGTGAGGTGATATTTCAGTGTTTGCCCTATGGAGGATATTCTCACCAGTGGAAGTCTTGAACGGAAGCGATAAGAGGAGTAGTAGCGAAAGAAAAGTGTAAGAGTGGTGGTGGTGTTGTTGTTGTTGTTAAACCAAATAACTTGATTTAAAGATAGTAACTCTGTAAGAAAAGATTGAAAATTGACAAAAATAGTTAAATTGGTGAAATAGAAAAAAAAAAATTGAGAACTGCATTTTACGGGACCGTCTACGGAATTCACCATTCTCTTTACAACCCGGTGTTCTCGCATATAAGGTGCACTACCTGCCGCTACTCGGTTGATGGGTTTGTCTACTGAGTCGCTGAGCACTGGAGTTACTGGGTTAATGCCCGTACCAGTGGTGGAATCCAAGTACTGAAAGGACACTGCCCCGGAATTCGAAATTCGATTCAACTTTTTTTTTTTTGTTTTTTAGTGTACTGTGGGCGTGCGCCTGCGAAAAAACCGTTGCGTGCGGCGCACGACCCGAGTCCCGCAGTACAAAAGAACAAAAAAAAAGGTCGTGTCGGCAACGCCAGTAGTGTACGCGTCCTCCGGCGTCCTTAGACGCGACAGCCAGCCACTTGCTGGTTGATGGTTGTTTCATATCTGTTTGGCGGTTTGCTGTTTGGAGTTTCACTGTTCGGTTAGTGAGTGGGAGGTTGGGGGTTCGGTTTTATGTTGCTGGGGTTGTTTTAGGTTGCTTAGAGAAGTGCTGTTAAGAAACACCCGTACACACCAGAACGGTTCCTCGGTGGAGGAAAGCGTGGGGGCAAAACACCCATGCACCAACGACATGCACGTGACAAACGAATAATTTATATTAGAAGTATATACTATATAAGTGATTATGGGTTTTGTTTAACAAAGTCAACACCCTTTTGGATGTTTTTAATCAAGGTTTCTTTGGCAGTCTTGATCAATTCTTCTTCGTGGTCACTCAATTCACCTAATGGGTGGATGATGGAAGCACCATCTGGACCTAAGGTGACTTTAGAACTGAAGAAATCAACCCCTTCATCTTTGAATAATGGACTGTCGACAAAACTTGGTTCAATAACGTCTTTTTCACCGGCTAAACCGTTCAAGACGGCACCGGCAAATCTAGGCACCGGCTTGGGCCATAGATAAAGTGGCAGAACCAGCACCATCTTTAGCTTTAACAACTTCATCACCACCGAATTGGATTCTGTTGATTAAACCATCTCTGGTTTCGGTATCTAAACTCTTATGGTTGGTTTGAGATAATAATGGAACAATGGTAACACCAGAGTGACCACCAACAACGGTAACTTTTTCATTGACTGGGTTGGTACCAGCAATTTCACTAACAAATCTAGAGGCTCTTAAAACATCTAAAGTGGTAACACCAAATAATTTCTTTGGATTATAAGTACCCTTGGATTTGAAAACTTCAGCAACAATTGGAACAGTAGAGTTAACTGGGTTAGAAATAATTAAAACATTGGCATTTGGTGCGTAGTCAGCAGAGGCCTTAGCTAAATCACGAACAATAGAAGCATTGGTGTTGAATAAATCATCTCTAGTCATACCTGGTTTTCTTGGAACACCAGCTGGGATAACAATAACATCGGAGCCACTTAAAGCTTCTTTAATATTATCTGGATTGTAACCCTTGACAACAGAGTTGGTTGGAACATGACTGACATCAGCTGCAACACCTGGAGCTCCTTTCAAATCGTATAATGATAAATCAGTAACTTTATGATTTAATTTTAATAATAAGGAAAGTGGTTGTCCAATACCACCATTAGCACCTAAAACGGCAACTTTATAAGCTGAAGCAGCAGATGAAGAAAAGGATCTAGTAGCAATCTTACTCAACATTTTGATTATTTATATTGTATGTTAATATATCAAAAGGAAAAGAAAAAAGTCTCTCAATTGACTCCCTCGTCGAAAAGGATTCCTCCATATATATATAATTTTTGGAAATTTTTTTTTTTTTTTTTCACCGATCCTCACAACCAACCATTTTTTATGCGATTCTCCTTCAATCCTTAATTCCCATTCACTGCTCAATTGGCCGGTGGCCTCTTCTTTCGCTGCTGGTCCCAGGCTCTGTTCCGGCTGCCACGTCCCTCAATTGACCCTTGGTCCTGTCTTCTCGCAGTTGGTCTGGCACTTGGGCCTTCGGAACAAGTATCCGATTTGGCCAATCATAGTGCGTGTTTCTATGGCCGGCTACTCCGAAAAAAAGTCAATGATTTCCCCGGTTTTCAGTTTCCGCTCTCTTTTCTGTCACTGTCAAACTGCAATTGATACCTTGATGAGGTTGATGCACTGATTCCACATGGATGAACCAGTTGATACCTGGATGCACCAATTGGTACTGTCGATGCTGTTGATGTTCTCAAAAATCTGCCTGGTCAATGGTGTGGCTCGGACTTTGATCCCCTACTTGTTCCGCACAATTGCCAATGGCTAGTGCCAGATTTTGCAGTCTCGACTCATCCATACTCGTGCCATTATATCGACCGACCTTCTAAGGTATCCTGATCCCACCTAAACCATTGTTATTCATGTTTGTTTATTCGCATACGCTGTTAAACGGTATGCATCTTGTTTATTTGTTGTCTTTCAACCTGAATGTTTCACTGTCATTATTCCAACTGCTTGATCCATCACACCTATGTAACCTCCTGTAACGCATAACCTACGTAACCTCCTATCACACATAACCTAAGTAACCTGTCAGACATAACCTTTTTCCACATATACTTAATTAACCTGAATGTGACATACAGTCGGTGTAGTAATTGTCTTTATTCTGGGAGTATATAATTGCTGCAAAAAACTTCCAGTTTCCTGCTTGGAACTACGGCCTGGCCACAGTAGCCTCATTGGCCAAAAACTCCTCTGAGAGTTATTTTGGCTTGTAGATATTCGTTGCTTAAGTTTCCATAGCTAACGAAGAAACTTTTTCCATAAGAGTTTACGTAGTATTACTGCACCGTCCGGTAACCAGTTCAAGAAAGTTTCAAAGTCACAGCTCCGTAATATCTCTCTTTGTAAGGATTATTAACTCATTCGGTGATAGAGTACCTACATTTATTGTTGTAGAAAAAATAGATTTTTTATCTTTAGTTTTTCTCTACGCAAACCCTTTTTCTCGGGCTGAGCACTGAATCCATGAGAAATTTAAACCCCTTGACAAACCTTATGTGTCAATTGCCTTCATTTTGAACTTTTGAAATTCTCCATCAGTTCTCGGTACTCGTGGCACTTTGGTCGCTGCAACGTGTAACAAGCAAAAAAGTGGTTGTTAATTTGCGTATGGTGCAGTCGTTGCGCTATATCAAATTTATTTTACTCGAGAAAAGGTGGTCGATTCGACTCCCGTTTGCGCTGCTTCTATGGCCAAGTTGGTAAGGCACCTCACTCGTAATGAGGCGATCGCCGGTTCGACTCCGGCTGGAAGCATTTGTTTTTTGATATCCACGTCATTTCTCTTTTTTGGCTGTTCTATTTAACCGTTTTAATCCATGGAGTGTTCCACTAATGGTTTAAACTGGTTGGTTGGTGAAGAGCTAACTTTCATTTTTTTGCGTTGGCCGATTTTTTAGGTGCAAAAATGCTGCACTGCGAAACACTAATCAGGTAATTTTCAACTGTCAGATACTCAGCTAAATATCTATGATTCCCTCCTGCCAACTTCAAGTATATAAAAACAAGACTAAATCAAATAAGAAACAGATAGTTTCATGTAGTGATATATACTTGTGTTTTCCGTTTAAGTGATTCTCAAAATGGATGCTAAAGATTTTACGACTCAAAATACAACCGAAGTTTCAACTCCATCCACGTTACTCCTGGATCCTTTTGCAGTTCCTGTTGAAACTCAAACAGATAAAGAAAAGATTGGCTCTTCAGCTTCGATCTTCTTGTTTTTCTCAAAACAAGATATCCCTTATGTTATCGTTGGCTTTCATATGTATGATGGTTTCTTCTCTCGGTTCCCCAGTACAAACGGTGATCTATGGGCTTGTGTTTAAAGATTTGAGTAAATTGCTAGGAAGAACTTACGATTTTGGGCAATTTGTAAGCAAAGTCAGATTCAACTGTGGCTTGATCATGATAGTCGGTGGAGTGAGATCTATATTCACTTGGTTGGGCTTCGTTGTTTGGATGCAATTTGGTGAACGACAACAAATAAGAGCAAGAAAACAATTATTCGATCTGTTTTTCAAAAGAAAGATTGAATGGTATGATACTAAGATTAGTCTCATGGGGGAAATTGCTCAAGTCAATAGATGTATTGAAGAATTAAGATCTGGAAATGCTGAAGTTCTTGGGATTTTGGCTCAAACTTGTTGCTCAATCATTTTTTTACTTATAACTTCTATGTATCATTCGTGGTCCTTGACTTTCGTTTTCATCGCTTCGTCTCCTTTAATGGCTTTGAGTACCTGGTATTTCGGGCGGTTGACTTACCGCTATGCTGATTTAGAAAATAATATCACTTCAAAAGGTTCGAAACTTTTGGACTGGAATTTCATGAGCGGTGATATAGTAAGGTTATTCAATGGTAAAATCTCCGAAATTTTTAAATTTAATGAAATTGTCGATGACTCAGCTACTGCTTTCTACAAAATGACAAATGTTCTATCGGCTAACGTCGGTACTCTAAGAGCATTGTCGTTAATTGCTGTTGTTCAGGGTTTTTGGTTTGGTAATTATATGATCAGAATCGGGAAATTGGAAATTAGTCAAGTATTCACTGCTTTTGCAACTTGTGTCTTGTTAGGCTCAAATATCGGTTCTTTAGCAGACTTAGTGGCAACTTTGAATAAAGCAAAAGCTGCCGCCATCACAATAGCAAATTTTTCGGTAGAATCTGAAAATTCAAATGAGTTCGGTGAATCTCCTAATGCTACTCATGGACATATTGAATTTAGAGATCTTGGTTTCAAATATCCAAATAGAGCTGAAAGGGCACTTGGAAATTTCAACTTGAATATTGAAGCTGGTACTTTAAACTTTATCATTGGGAAATCAGGTTCCGGTAAATCAACTCTATCCCAATTATTCTTGAAATTTTACCACCCAGATAATGGGAAAATACTACTTGATGGTAAAAATATTGAAGAAATCAGCTCAGATTGGCTTGTTGAAAATACAACGCTAATCCAACTGGACTCGGTAATCTTCGATACCACTTTAAAAGAGAATGTATCTTTGGCAGTTGTCCAAAGGTTCCTTTCAATTGATGATACTCCAGAATTAATGATCGAGGATGCTTGTGAGTTTGCTTTGCTATCTAATTTTATCTCTGAACTTCCAAAAGGCTACAATAATAAAGTATCTTCATCAAGCTTATCTGGTGGGCAAAAGCAAAAGATTGCATTGGCTAGAGCGAAAATTCGTGATACTCCGATTTTAATTTTAGATGAAGCAGTTTCAGCCGTTGATATTAAAGATAAAGAGCTTTTGTTAAAGTCAATAAAACAATGGAGACGTGGTAGAACTACCATCATTATCACACATGAAACAAATTATATTGGTGATGGTGACAATGTCATTTTGATGGAAAATGGTCGAGTTAAGGCTGAAGGAACTTACAAGGACTTGAAAAATGAAAATTTAATCACTAAAGCTAATTTAAACCTTGAAAGAAAAACTTTTGATGCTATGGAGGAAGATAAACAGAATATCAAAGGCGGTCCAAGTCGGTTCTCTTTGTATGAACAATTGAGAAATCCCGTTATATTGCAAGATCTTGATAAACAAGTTCCAGGTGTTGAAATGGATGAGAGACCTGAAGATTTAATGTCAGTACTTTCCATCTTGAATTATTGTCGTAAAACAATTGATGCAAAAATTTGGATAACCGTTGGTATTTTCAGTTCAATCTTAAGTGCTGTGGTAACTCCAGTATTCTCCTATTGTTTGTCTAAACTTTTACTGAATATGGTTAATTCATCTATAGATTCCAATAAAAAGTCTGTTAACGCTGATTTAATACTTTGGTCTTCTATAATCATTGGTCTTTCTTTGTTTGATGGCTTTGTCAGTTATATTTCTCTGTTTCTTTTAAATTACTCTGGGGAAAGATGGATTGTCAATTTAAGGAAGTTGGTCTTCAATAAAATATGTGATCAAAGTATGGCATTCTTCAATACTGAAACAACTAAGCCTGCTGAATTAACTGCTTTATTGATGAACGATACAAGGGATTTACGTAATTTGGTTTCGGAATTTTTGAAGGTGAGTATTGTTTTGATAGTCATGTTATTAACAGGTATCATCTGGTCGATTCTTTCTGGTTGGAAGCTCTCTTTAGTCGGAATTTCTTTTGTTCCTTTAATTTTATTAGTTACCGGTGTTTATAATAGGCTTTTGGAAGTTCTTGAAAACAAGTATAAAACTAGTATTGCAGAATTAGAAAATTCTTGCCATGAGACCGCTAGTGGTTTGAAAACGATTTTCTCTTTGAATTTGAAGGATCATTTCTCTTCTGTATTTGAACTGAAGTTATTTGACATCAAAAGAGTCGCTTTTCAAAGATCATTGAGTACTAGTTTTGGGCTTGCTTTGCAAGAATTATGTACTTCCGTTGCAACTGCAACAATTCTTTATTATGGTATGTTTTTGGTTGCAAATTCCGATTATTCGCAAACCCAATTGCTCGAAGTCACTACGATTTTAAGTATGACTTTAACTCATGCTGGGTCTTTATTGAAGCAAATACCTGAAATAGCTAGAGGCCAAAGAGTTGGGACCTACCTCATCAAAATATTAGGACTACCCTCATCACCTTGCGAGATAGAGGGAAATTTAAAATTGCACAAGTTGTATAACTCAAAGGATTTAATACGATTTAATGATCTCTCATTTCATCATCCAAACCGAATAAACTCTACTTTGCTGAACGTATGCTTTAAAGTTGCTAAAGGGGAAACAATTTCACTTGTTGGCCAATCTGGTCTGGGAAAATCAACAATTGTTTCTTTACTTACAAGGCTTTTTGACATTGACAGTAACCAGATTTACCTCTCCAATTATGATATTAAAAACATAGAAGTAGAAAGGTTAAGAGAGTTGATAGCTATCGTTCCACAGACTCCAAAATTTTTCGAAGGTACCATCTATGAAAATTTGACTTATGGTTTAGGTAGAGGAGTTAACCAAGAGAAAGTTCTTGATGCTTTAATCAGGTCAAATAGTTACGAATTTGTCAGTAGCTTACCCTTAGGCTTAGATACAATAATATGCGGTGGGTTAAACTCTCTTCTTTCTACAGGCCAATTACAGCGCCTATCAATTACGAGAGCTTTATTAAGAAGTCCACAGATCTTGATTCTAGATGAGTGTACTGCTAACCTTGATCCTGAAAATACTGCCATAATTTTCAAATTAATACATGAATTGGCACAAACAAATTTAACTATTTTTATTATAACTCATGAAGTGGAAATGATGCAATTGGCCGATAAATTGGTAGTTTTAAAAAATGGTCGAGTATCGGAAACTGGTTCTTTCGATACATTGTATGACGAGCGAGGAGAATTGTTCTCAATTGTTACCGACGTTGCTTGATATATCTCTACTCTTTTACATTGAATATTTTTAACTTTATATATATATTAAAAAATACAATAATCGACTCTAAATAAAATACTGATTAAATTTTAACATTAATATAAGGAACCTCGACATCTTCACCTTCTTTGTCATCGCAGCAGATTTCAAAGATTAAATTCTTTACATGTGGAGGTATATCTTTTTTACTAACTTCCTTGATTAAGTCGGTCAATTTTAAGCTTAATCTATCTTTGACCTTCTTTGGTGGGAAAAATGAAGCATATAACAAAGAAACCCCGTAAGATAACATTGAGATTTCCAAGCCTTCTTTTTCTTGGAAATGATCAATCAATTCTTTTAATGTTATATCACCGTGTAATTCAAATCTATCCCAAATTTGATCAAATTCTTTATCATTGTATTTACCTTTGGCAGATTTAATTGGTTCTGAGAACCCAATAAAAGGTAAAGCCAAGTTGATAAACCCATTCTTGTAAGCTTCAATATCATCATTTTTAGCAACCACTTTGTATAATTCAAGACAAACCAAACCGGTGACCAAAGCAGTAGTAGTGGCAATAGCTGGGATAATCTTACCAGCAATGAATTTAGTTTTTGAAGCATCTGCAGTTTCAATAGCATAGTTCAAAGCTCTACAATTGGATGCAGCAGTAATAAATTCGATGTGGTGATTGGTATCATCATCTTTTTCGAATTCAATTGGAGTCAAACGATAGCCGGCTAAAGTTGAAGGTTCAGGTAAAGTAGCAGCGATCTTTTTAAGTTCATCTTCATCTAAGCTACCCGATAAGTTTTTAGCCTCTTCTTCAGCTTCGTTATCGTTAGCGGCAATAGAAACGCCAGATTTAGGAACAAATGGCTCAATTTTAATTTCATCC